CCCGCGCACGCACAGACACGCGCGCACACACATGCACGCATACACACACACGTGTTTAATGTGTGCGTGAGGGTGAGACCCTGACTCAAGGGTGAGGCGTGCAAGCTCTCCATCAGACCTTATCGAATCGAATCAAATGCTTGTAAACAATTTAACGACTGTAGGTCTAAAATCATGTTGAAAACACTTCCAGGTTCATTTTTAAAGCGGTTTATCCAACTGACTTTTGGGTGAGAGGTGGGGTGCACCCTGGATTGGTCGCCAGCCAATGAACATGCGCAGCTATGGGTCAATTATTGTCTTCAATCAACCTCACATGAACGTTGCTTGGTGGGATACAGAATCTTCTCTGGTAAAGTCACCAGACATTAGTTTTGCTCTCCGCTACACGCTGTTTACCTGAGCATCTGCTTCGTGAAATGAAACTGAACAAGCAATTTGATTTTTTTTTCCTATTGTACATAAATATTTGGAGTCGTGCATGTGCCGTTTTTCGCCACAACACAATATGGCCCACTTTCTGTTCTATGGTTACTGCCACACATCCGTGGAACCCTCCTGTCACAAAAATAACCAAAGAAAAAGAGCTGAAGTCTCACCAGATTTGCTGAGGTCTGCCATGAAATGCTGACCTTCTTATGCAACGTGTTTGGAAGCAAATGTTACATTCCACTGAACTTAACGAAACCAAATTCAATTATTCCAGCCCAACAGCATGCTTGGCATGGCTTCATGTTTTTCAGGGGTGAAGAATGCATGTAATTAAAATTGAATGTGGATGTATCTCGTGCTCGGCGAAGCCCTCTTGGGGTCGAGCCCGCGCGGCTCCGGTCCGAACTCACTCTGCTCTGTTACACAACACACTTATGAATAGTTAAACTCGAGCTAAAATAAAGCTAAACACCAGCCCACCGAGGGGAAGCCATAAATGTTTAAAGACGATCAGGGGAATTAATCCACTGCAAGCTGCTGGCTAACATAACATCGCCGTGTGCGTGTGCGCGCGTGCGTGAGCATGTTTAGGAAAAGCTAAACAGGATGAAAGAGTAAGTGGGCCAAACGAGCAGCGAGAAGATGGCTGAGGAGATACTGTGTGCACTTGGAGCGGGAGGAGGTGAACGAGAGACAAAACATTGAGCGAGAGGGACAATTTTGTCAATTACCAAATAAGCTTCCAGCAGACGTAACCGCTGACGTGCGTTATGCTGCGCAGAACTGCAGCTAGTTTGCTCTCATATCTAAGCTACGTTCATGACACGGACGGTAGAGGTTGACAGAGAGAAACCTCCGACAAATTTCAGATGGCTTTGTCTTACTGTGTTGAGTAGCGCTACTAGCTTAGCGCTACTAGCTTATTTAACAGATCTGAGAGTCGTCACTCGCGGCTAACAAATGGAAAAAGAAAAGCCGTAGTGGAAGATGAGGAGACAACTCAGATCACGATAAAGAAGTTGAATGCTGCGCTTGCGAAGAAACATGGCAAAGGACAGTCCAGGACATTCGTCTTGTTAATGGGCGCCATCAAACAAAAGCGGCCACACCAGTTTCTAAACAACTTTGATGGATTGAACACAATATGAGGAAAGGAAAAGTTCTGCTCTCTGCTTCAGTGGTCAAATGTTTTAGTTTTTTTTTTTTTTTGGGGGGGGGGTGGGCGTGGGGAGGGTCAATGTTTAACACCAGCCAAGTTGACACTTGTGAAAACAAACTCAAAAAGTTTTGGTACAATGGTTGACCAGTTCGGATTTTAAAACGACTTTTTACAACGATGAAATAATAAAAATGATCCATTCACGGTCAAACTGTCGGCAAGACCTTCATCAAATGAACATAGAATTTTGTGAAGCAACATTTGAACATTCGTAGCGGTCATAAAAGCGGAACAATAAGAATACCACTGCAAAAATCAAACTAAAATAAAGTAAAAATACTCACTGAAACTTATTGTGATGTTGAATTATAGGTTAATTTACCCATTTTACGAGCATGATGGAACTCCTCGTCACACCAAGTTATTATATTTACAAAGCGACGTGCATTAAAATATTAAGAATGAAACATTTGCTTTTGAGGCGGCACCAGCTCCTCGGTAAAAATGTAAATCTAATCCTTACGTCCCCAAAAATAGCCCATAGAGCAGAGAAAGACCGAGTGAAGCAAAGCCAAAAGCAATTCACCCATGTCTAATTACAGTCGAGACAATGAGCAGGAACGTGCGTTTGCAGCAGGGGAGGCAAAAGATAGTACGAGGCATGCAAATGACGTATTTATTGGGCTGCACAGATGTTTCGGGAGCTTTAATTATTATTTATGTTTCTATCTAATGAATGGCAGCGCAAAAGCCAAATAGAGGACATGCACCCGTGTACCGAGCAGCAGCAGAATCACATCTTTACAAAAATAAAAAATAAAAAGGCAATCATTTGGATTGAGATTGAAATGACAATTCTTAGAATGAATTGTTCAGTCATTTCAAAACGGAGTATTTATTCAACGACTCAAACTCAATTACTCAAAAATGGGGCGCATGTCGCTGGAATTTTCCAACGAAAACACCGGGTGACCCCATGCAGCCAAAAGAGAGCCCCCCGCCCCCCACCCCGCCCCTGGTTTTGAATGTAATTACGAAGCGCCGAAGTGGACCGAACATCAAACTATTTGCCTCTGAGGTAGTGCGTACAAAAGCAATCAAAAGTGAACTCATTTGTTCAATATGATTAAGCAAACAGTTCCTCGCCCCCGGGACAGCACGCATTTAGATCGAATAAGATGTTTCAAGGAAAAAAAAAAAAAAAAAGGGAGGCGTAATCGGCGAAAGTGAATGAGGGTTTACATCAGCTGGCGTATGACTATGAACCAACAGATATAATAAATCATGTTTGAATGTAGGCTGCTCCGAAGAATATGAAAGGCACTGTGCGCTCTTTGGGTTTGTGATTTGACGCTTGCTGGACCAAAATGAGCCACTTCTTTGGGGAAAAGATTACGATTACTACTACAAATCATGAAAAAATAATTATTATTAGGGATGGGCGAGTATCGACACCAGGTATCGGTATTTGGCTGATACTGGCCTTATTTTAAGGTATCGGGCGGGGATCATGCAGTCTGCGATACCGAGCGCCGATACTTAAGGCCATATCAATATATATCTGACGTCGAGTTATTCCATCTCAGCAGCAGATGGCGCAATACCGTAGCAGTTTGACACATCATCGAATGCTCAACTGCGTCCGAAAGATAGAAAGGTTTTGTTCACAATAGTTTGTCATTGTGTTCAATAAAATTAAATAAAATGTCAAAGTATCGGGACTGGTGAGTACTCAAAGAGTGAATTCTCGTACAACCCGAATACTAATGATTACATGTATGTGGGCAGCTAAATGACATTTATAGGAGTCCAAAACTATTTACACTTGACCGGATTAAGACGACAGTGTTTGGTGATTAGGCGAACCGGTCGCGCACGATCCGCGTTCACGTGATCATAATGTGAAGCTTACATTGAGTGTTCAACGCCTCTGCGACAAGTGCCCATATTGTATCTGCTGATGAAAATAATTTGTCGCGAAAGGAGGTATTCACACTGGGAATCCAACGCAATTAAGCTTATCGGTGAGCAAAATTCCACTGCATTTTACCAAGTAAACCAAACCATATTTTGAGACAACGGATCAGCTTGTGCGCACACAAAATGCCTGCGAAGTGGTCACAGCTTGATTGTACAGAGCGAGACGCTATCAGCTGATGCAGTTTAAGCTTCGAGGAAAACTAAAAGCCCGAAGCATTAAAATTTGTCGTACAAAGGCGGAATTAAATGACGAGTAGCTTTCCATCCAACGAGAACAGAAATCCTTGATTCAAAGTTAAAGGGGTCCAGTTGTGGACCATTTTTTTCACGTCAAAGCATAATATGTGCTTTACTTCTTGACCTAATATTTTTAAACAATATTTTTCTTCCTTGAGACTTGTTTGTGACTGCTGTCAAATTTCATTTGGTGTCTTGGACGGTGTTTTTTTTTTGTTTTACTGTGTTTTACTGTGAGCTGTAAAATGTAATAAATAAATACAGAAAAAAATATTCTTAATGCAATTCAGGTCCTGGTTTTGGGTGTGATGTTCCACTGAAACCATTGAAAATGGTGATGATTTTTTTTTTTTTTTTGCGAGGGACAAACATGATTTTTTTGGGGGGGTAATCTTTGTCATTTTAGTGTAATTTAAGAAACACAGATGAACCAATGAGTAACCGCTGGCAACTGGAACCTATTTTCATTCAATACAGCCAAAATAGTTTGGAAATAACACACACTGTCATACCGTGTCCCGGTGGTCCAGCTTTTTTTTTTTTTCCACTGTTCTTTTAAAACACCTTTCATTGTTGACTTCTCTCCTCAGCACTTATTGTACCCGCCTCACACACGCACACACGCACACACACACACACACACACACAATTGTACTCCCGCCTCACACACACACACGCACACACACACACACACACACACACACACACACACACACACACACACACACACACAGCGAATTGCTCCTCTCGCAAAGCAGCTTTGCATACGATTTGCTGAGCAATTACAATGCACGTGATTGGTTGGCGTCTTTCCCGCATGCATCTATTAACCACCACCAGGTTAGACTGCAAAAGTCGATCAAAAACGACCTCATTATCAGGACTGCAGTCCCCCTGTGGAGGACCTGTGGCCTAGGGAGTAAACATCATGACCACGGCTCAGGTCAACACCACATAGAGAAAAGAAAAAGACAGGCACCAAGCAGATTTAACCCCCCCCCCCACATCCCCCAAAAAAAGAAGAAGAGGAACACAGGACACCTCGCTCATTGAGATAACATGTGAATGAGGGTGTACATGCAAATATATGCACACACAGATGTTCATGTCTTGGCCGTATCCTGTCTGGGCCAGAAACGAGCGGGGAGAACACACACCGGACTTGCCCAGGAGTGTCCAGGAGTGACCCTACCTGGTCAAAATGTTGAACAGCGGGCTCCCTCCTCTGAAGCTGGAGCTGCTTGTCGATGTTGTCCTTGAGGCACTGGCACACGCGGCGCTTCTGCTCGGACGAGTACGCTTCCAGGCTGAGCAGGCAGTCGCACTTCTGAGGGCAGAGAGACAAAGCGAGAGAGAGACGACGGAGAGAGGTGAGCAACCAGACAGGCGGAGGATTGAGATGGCAAGCGGTGGAGAAATACCCAATGTGAGGAGTTGGTCGTTCATTAAAATTGAGCACGAAGTCAAAACGGACTCTGACTGTATTTTACGGCTGCTATCAAATACACACACACATGAAATACGATACAAGATGGAGCCACACTATATAAAGTAGATTCGTGTTTGGGTTAATGAGGTTCGTCAAATTAGGAGGATCTGACCATAGGTAGGTCAGGGGTGAGGGTTAGTCACGTTAGTGTGATTCATAGGACTAGGGTTAGTCGAGTTTGGATCGGTAGTGTTAGAGTAATGATATGCACTGGAACACAAAAGATGAGGTCACCCTTGATTGACGCCAGAGTGTGATTTTTTTTTAACCCTCTCATGCACCCTGTAACCAATATTTCCAATCGGAGTATCCTCACGAGAATTCTTCAACAATTCAGCAACTTCCAAATTGACAGTATGGAACGTCCAGCACGATTGTAGGGTGTTGGAAAGTCGTTCACTTTGAGTGTGATTTGGTACGACAAATCACATCTGATTGTATGTCCATTTGGGCTCAGTTTTTATGACACGGCAGCATGGGTAGAAACTCTGGCCAGGCGAAATGTGCTAGCATTAGTGAAATTAGATCATAGCCCGGGCGCACTTGAGACAGAATTTGATATGTGGACCAAGAAATCAATAGAGCCCTGCTGGGAAAATGCATGAAACTACGTATTTGACCATCGGCGGTCAGGACAGGGGAGCGGCTGGTCTGAGAGCTTTTCATCCACAAGGGTTTAAATTGTCCTGTGGTTGGCATCATGAATCGAGCATTGGCTTTGTCTGAAACTTGTAATGATGCCAGGCCTCTATTTGCACGGGTCTTAAATGGGAACAATGTCCAACCGAAGAACACCCAGAATGTTCAAAAGGCATTTCTTTATGGAAACGTCTCCGTGGTGTCCCGCTTCTAGCAAAAACATTTGAGTCCTGACGTTTTTGGACATAACCCAAGATATAAATAGCATCGATTTTTGTTGGTCCAATTTATGCAAGATCTCTTGAGATCAACTTCAGGGTTCCACACTCAGTGCCCCGCTTAGTGGAGAATCTCGATGCAGTTGCCCCCCCATCACATCTTGCCCGGTTGCTCCCTGTCCTTTTCAATCACCCTCAACGTCTCATCGAAGAGGATATTCACTAAGTAGGCAAAATACACTGTACGAAAAGAATACGACCGTGTGAGGACAAAAGGGTGTTTGGTGGCGGTCAAATGTGGCAAAACAAAACAAAAACCGCAGAAAGCAACGCATTGATGACATCACAGAAAGATGATGAATGAGCGGCGTCAGCAGAGCAGACAGAGATCGGTATCAATGTTCGATGAAATCCATCACTTAGGGACAGTTTTAGTCTGTCGCGACGCAGAAGAGGCCGCTAAATGTGGATCATGCGCATATACGCATATACGACCCCTGGCAAAAATTATGCAATCAACAGTTCAAGCAGATCACGGCAGCTGAGGAAAAATTATTTGTTTATTTGTATATTTCACAGGAGCGGATTGACCTCATCCGTGAACTCCATGCGCGCATGGTGGCTGTCGTCCAGCGTCCAGCTCCTTGTTTGTAACCCCAGCATCAGTTCGAGTGCTGCACACGGGCAGCTAATGGGGCAAAATCCAATGACTGGCCGCTGGTAACTGCCATGGAGGGGGCTAAAAATAAAAGGCAGCATCATCGGATTGATGAAATTGCCCCCCGGTTGAGGGGCCTCCTTCCGAGCCGACCGGCGGATGAGTTTTCAGCATGTCACGGCGGCTCACGTACGGTACCAGGCGTCAGCGCTGATTAGAATACTTTCGCTTTCCTGTACACATTCGGGTCACAAATAAGCCAGCCGCACCGTGTTTGATCTTACGTCAGCCGCGTGCCTGCGAGGAAGGCTCGTTAAATGCCCTTGTTTGCTTTCTTGACAGCGCCAGGGGAGTCGATCGATACCAATTTTAGTCTCTTTGGAAAACATGCTGGGTTGTAGCCAGAAGCTGATACACTGTGAGTCCAAACAGTTTTCATCCCGATTTTTAGTTGGCCAAAACGGGTTTGGTTTCAACACATTTGTTGAGCATCTTTAAATCGGGGAAATTGTCGGCATGCGATCAAATGTGGCCGTGAAGTCAACAGACTCTCTGGGAAAATTAATGAAAAGATGAGTCAAAACCTGATTAGCAAAGGAGAGGCAGTGTACTCCTCAGGACAAAAATGCTCTTGTTTGCTTTCTCAAAAACAGCCAGAAGAATTGATTGACACCAATTTTGTTCTTGGCGGTATCCATGGTGCTGTCGCCAGAAGCTTGTTGCGGCTGGTCAGCAGATGACGCCACAGCGCTTGAAGTCATGTTTGTAAGGTTTGTCTGCTTGATTTAAACACCGGGAGGTGCTTTGCAAGTCAGCACGGGTGATTTAAAAGGGTCGAAACGGCTTTCATCATCTGAATATCATGTCATGATTTAGTTCAAATGATAAAAAAATGTTTTATTTGCTATAATGTTACATTGGAATGGAGTTTTACACAGGACAGTTGTGAAGTAGGACAGGCTCGGATAGAACAGGACAGCGACAAGAAGGGGATGGGAGCAGGACAGGGGTTGTAGACCCAGCAGTGCAATTGAAGTGCCATAGGAGGGGATTTGTAATTTCTAAACACCTGTAGAAACGAGTGCAAGTGAGGGGACAACCCAGGAAGTTGGCAAGGTCATAAGGTTTGTGTATCTGTTATCGTAAATCGAGACGGGCCCCACGCAAAGCCACTAAGTCCCATGAGGCGTGTCTACGGACTGGTAAGTACTGGCCGTGTCCAACATTTGTGGGTATGAAGAAAAAAATAACCTGAGGAGCTGAGAACGACAAAAGTACACCAGAAGACCCGTGAAGTCAACAGACTCTCCAAAATCAATGAAAAGAAAAGAATAAAACGGATGAAGGAGAAAGCACAGGAGGCAAAATTACTGCAAAGCACCGACTCTGATCGACGTACGCTTTATGGTGGGATTCTCTCTCTCTACGAGTCTTCAAAGGAGGTCTTCAATGAAGAAGCGCTGCAAAAGCTTGGAGAAAAAAAACCCCAACACGAGAATAAAATGGATGAAGGAGAAAGCACAGGAGGCATAATTCCTGCAAAGCACCGACTCTGATCGACGTACGCTTTATGGTGCGATTCTCTCTCTACGAGGCTTCAAAGGAAGTCTTCAATGAAGAGGCGCTGCAAAAGCTTGGAGAAAAAAAACCCCAACACATGGTGACACGAAGAAGCGTCATTGCCCATTAGTCACGTCGCGATGACTTGTCGCTCTGTCGCAATCGGCTGAGTTACAGCATAACACCATCAATTCCCTCATAGGCACCCGGCAAAGATCGCTTCGTGTAACCTCGGAACATAAACAAAAATGGAACGCGCTCTCCGGCTGCTTGCAGAAGAGACCGAGTCGGATATTTAATGTGTCTTGGAAGCGTGCCACTCCACGGCTTTAAGCGGCTTCCACTCAAGTGTCATGTTAACAAGAGCTAATGATGCTAAAGCAGCCCACGGGGCAAAAAGCCAAAGAGATCATTTACACTGAGGAAGGGGGGGGGGCATGTTACCCCTCCACCAACCACATATTTAATTCATCTTCTTAGCTTTTCAAGATCAAGTTCAATCCAATCCAATGCCAATTCAGAAAATTGATCAGTCCCTCACCACTGCGCACGATTGTTGGACACATCGATAGATCTTGGTCAGGGAGTCATGTTCAATTCAAATCACCATTATTCATTTATTAATTTGTGTGACCTTGACTCATTGTGAATGCCGCCCAATAGTGCTAATGTGACTGCAGGTCCGATTCCAAACCGACAAAACCGATCAACGTCATGCTTTTCAACCAATCGTGTTCTCGCTTTCAAGTACAAAAGTTGGAGTGATTGAGAAAATGGCGGAGAGACATTTGAGCGTCAAATCCCAAATAACTTCACCGAGCAGATGATGTAGCAAAACAAAGCATTTTCCCCAAACAATTTCCATAGCAGAGGACAGAATGCAATTTGTCCCAGTGTCTTTCCCACAGTCTTTCATCTATTTTGAGTTTGTTTGTCGGCCTTTCCACTTCACGGCTGTTCTGCGGTTGACCTAAAAAAGAAGCAAAGGAGCATGTACACTGGAATGTTTGGCCCCGGGCCCTTCCTATAGACGTCATCGCGGATGATTAGCGCATGATTGGCCCCGCTGGGATTCGGCTATTTCCGTTTATTGCCTCCGATCAATGGCATTATTTTTCTATGCTTTTTCATGATCGTCACTATTCATCTCGTTCATATGACTGAGCCAGTGACACTTTGGTGACATAAGAATGAATGCACCCTTTTTTAATCCCTGGACATTTTTTTTTCCACATTGCTGAAAATTATTCATCGTAATTAATACTAATCACACACATTTCATGAAAACTTTCATTGAACTCATCGCGGATTCCAGACACCGTGCGCTGTGTGCCACGAGGCAACCCAAAATAACATTTCTAAGTAGCTCGCAAGCCATGATGTTATCTACAATGTTGGTTGCTTGGCTCTTCTATGTTCCAATCACCTTTTGTAATTACCGTATTTTCCGCGCTATAAGGCGCACCTCAAGTAGCTCGCAAGCCATTATGTTATCTACAATGTTGGTTGCTTGGCTATTCTATGTTCCAATTACCTTTTGTAGTTACCGTATTTTCCGCGCTATAAGGCGCACCTCCAATGAACGTGCTATTTTAAAACGGTTTGCATATATCGGGCGCACGGCGTTTATAAGGCGCATGGAAAAGAAGCTACAATCGTGGATGCGCTTGCGTTATACATCCGCTAGATGGAGCTACGCTAAAGGAAATACAATACAATACGGCTTTATTGAAAAGGCACTTTCACAACCACTGCAGCTGTAACAAAGTGCTTTATAGAAAGAACATTTAAAATACCACGTCCAAGAAATCTGAATATTGATCCATATATATATATATATATATATATATATAAGGCACATCGGATAATATGGCGCAATGCCGGCTTTTGATAAAATTGAATGCTTGGGGCAAATTGAGGCAGTGACCCATTTCCCTCAGACAAGGCGAATCCCTTTCACGAAGTAAACGGCTGAACTTAAAATGCATGAAAATAGAGCCGTTCGTTGATATTCTACGTCATAATTCATTGCGCCCAATGGTCTGAAAAGTAGGGTATTCATACATTCAGTTCCAATATGATTTAGTTGGTTTTCATTAGCGATCATAACCTTGCTACTCACGGGGGTTTGTCATATGACACATCTCTCAAAACTGCGCCGCAATCCAAACATCCTTTTATCTCCAAGAGCTCCACTTACATCTGCAGTGTCAGACAGAAGGTGTTGCTGGAGAGAGTCGCCCTCCCTGGACAACCACTTCTTGGGCACAGCGCGGTCAGCAAAGTTTCCCATGATCGCTCCGACAAGCCGCTGATGACTCTCCCGCTTTGGACAGCGATCGCAAATGCAGTCGACGCCTCACCTCACCGTTTTCGCATTGATTTACCATCACGGCCCTTATCTCTGCTTTCTCTCCTCTTGCGTCACTGACACACTTACACACAGTTGACTTTCCAGAGACCACCCAACTCTCTTCCCGTAGATGCGCACGCATTTTTCTTTCGCGTGTAAATCTGGGTTAGATCTGCTCTGTTTTGAGCGCCTACTAAAATAGGGTGACCTCCCGAAGAGAGATTCGACCAAATTCACTCCCTGCCCTGTTTTCTTGGCCAGGTAGCGCAACTGAAACAGGAACAGAACAAGAACTTTTTGTACATTAACAGTTTGAGCGTTGTTTGATCGAGACAACCATTCACGTTCACATCATCAAAGACAGGATGCCAAAGAACTATCGAGCCAAAAGTCAACCATCGTATCATAATTTTGTGCATGAGCGGACATAACCCGGCCAACAACTTCATGCTTGCCTGTGTCAGGAGTTCTCAAACTTTTTCTTCCAAGGGCCACTTTGACATTATTCACCCTTCACTTATTTAACAGACTAAAACCAAACCATCATTTTTCTCTTTCTGCACGCATGTATGTCTTTGTCTGCGTTTTTATGTGCGTGACCTCTGCAGGCCAGCAAGTGCAAGTGAATTAGCAATCGGACGATTGCATTCCAAACATCTCCCGCATTGGCCTAAACACAAACACGGAGGAGAGGGTCACGGCCGTCCCCAGCGCGTGAAACTTGCATCTTCGCGCCACCCACTGCCCCCCCCCCCGGCAAACGGCTCAGCAGGCTGTCTATTTAAGGACTCCATCTCGCTCTCCCTCTCTCGACATATTTGCCTCACGCGGCTCCGCTTACAAACACGGAGGAGAGGGTCACGGCCGTCCCCAGCGCGTGAAACTTGCATCTTCCCCCCCCCCCCTGCCCCCCCCCCCCGGCAAACGGCTCAGCAGGCTGTCTATTTAAGGACTCCATCTCGCTCTCCCTCTCTCGACATATTTGCCTCACGCGGCTCCGCTTCGCACACCATCTGTCAGCGCCTCTCGTAAAGATTCTGTCATCGCTCCGAGATGAACGAACACCACCGTCGGTCGACGAGAAAGAGAGGAGGGAGAGAACGGGTCCTTCTCAAACAACACTTGTCACAGACAACATCACTAACCACCGCATGTCATGTCTGCTATTTTCCTCTGGGACGGTGAGACAGATGAACTGCCGACCCGATGAATGGATGACTCTGCGTACACGACAGCGATAAGCGCCGCCGCGGCAGTTCGAGAGGAGATAACAACATCAATCTGACCCGAACTCTCAAACAACCCGAGCTACCGCAAAGGCAGGGCATTTTAAAGCAACGAGACGTAAGCAGCTCGACAAATGGCCGGTCGTCGAGGGAGCCCGCGCAATGTAATCATCGGAAAAGCTACGGCTGCTGATGATGCGTCATGTATGCCGCACCAATGTAACTCTTCCCTAAAGACATAAATAATGTGCGATTTTGCAAGGCTGAGCTCCAGCAAAGCCTTTTAAAGTAATATTCGGGGAAAAATTATTTGCATGTCCGTAAATCTGACCCAAACACAAATGATCGAAGGTAGGGCAAAGGACAGCATTTTAACTGTAACGATGGGGAACAATTGCACTTTATAAATAACAGCCGAAAAGTCATTTGCGTTATTGGCACTAGTGTTCTGAGGTTAGCACTCGCATGGATGCTGAAGTCTTGCAATGCAGTCGTGAAAAACTTAATATTTTCAGTTATGCTTGCGCTTCGGGGGGCATCCTGGAGGGGACATTCCAACTGCACACTGTTAGGTTCACATGTCTCGTCAAAATGTGCCATGAGCCCGCTCCAACTCTCCTGCTCTCCCATGCTGTCCTACGTAAGACCTTGCTATTTATATCCACTTTCCTAATTGGTCAGAGTGAAAGTTATGTAGCCGCTTCCTCTTTTTCCAGCATGTGGGATAGATAGCAAGACTTCTCTTGTTCTGTCTGGAATCTCAGCCCCCCCGCCGAAAAAGGCGAGCCTTTAAAGCATTCATAAGCTGCTAATGAGGCTGTGCAGAGTGTTGTGTGGTGTACAAGAATGCGCGCAGCAGTAAGAGTTGGCGTGAGTTATACTGCAGTAAAGCTATTTTTCACAGAAACGTTTCAGTCGGGAAGCTCATTTTACCTCAACTTGAAAAAGAAACAAGCACACAGCATTCACTGAGTGGCTTGCAACTAATGCGACAGGTACTTTTTTTCAGTCAGACTCATCATTTAGCATTCTTTATTCATCACAAATGCATACGGGCCATACTATGAGACCAAAAAGGCATTTTCATTCAAGCTCTCTGTTTACCAAGAATATGAGTAACGGACAACTCTATTGGCTCATAAACACAAACATACTGCGGTAAATGAGGGTCTTACCTCGGTCATGTGAATAAGATAGAATCGGAGTTCTTCAGCATAATCTGCGTGAGAAAAAAAAAACCTCCATTAGTATCTTTACTACACTGAAAAGCGTTTTTGTTGAATTTACTCCATTTAATTTCATTTCTGGATCCACATGTTTTTATTTTGTGCAACCACTGGAGGAAATAAAAATGGAGTCAATTCAAAACACCATTTTTTGAGTATACAAACAACAAACAGTATCCCCCTGAATGGTGGACTGCATTCTAAAAGATGCCTCAACCTCAATTAAGGGCTGCTTATTTTGCATTCGTAAACAGATAAATGCCTCACCTCAAATCGAAACATCCTTTCTCCTCTCAGAAATCAGCTGCAGTTACCTTGATTCTACTTTTCAGTAAGCAGTATGAATAAATAAGGGCTGCCTCTCCAAGAAAATGAACAAGGTCACTCCACTCTTTCAGGACAATTCATCAGAAAAAAATAAAGGCCTCCTCTGAAATAAATGAAGTCAAGTCAGCATCCGAGACTCACTGAAAATGAGTAAATGCAAACCTACAGCCTCTACATGAAGAAATAAAGAAGAAAAGGAAGCGCTACCCTTACAAGTATTTGTCAGGGGAAAAAAAATGACTGAAAAAGCCTCCTCACCAACTAATCAACTCAAATGAGCACCTGGTACTCACTGGTGTTGAGTCAATGCACAAGCCCAGCCGCTAAATGGAGAAATTAAAAAGAAATGCTTGCCCAAGTGTTTTCTAAAAGAAATACAGGCCACGTCTCAAATAAAATCATTCAAATAAGCGCCACGTACTCATTGTATTATGTAAATGTGCAGGCCCTGAAAGAAGAAATTGTCACTTCTCACAATAACCAGCAGAGGGCCCTCTTGCATATATTGAAGCAACTGCTGTCCAGCACGTGAGCTCTGTCTGTCTTTTTGGTTTGGTTGGCTTTTTTTGACTTCATGAGAGGGGCAAAATATAAGAAACGCCTCACCAATTCTAATTCAACTATTGGCTGGAAATCGACACGGAAAAACTTTCAGAAGAAAACTCAAGTGACAGCTCATTGTTGCAGGTTGTGCTTCAATTTCATTGTTTCCCACGCTCTTTAACATTGAAGTATCATGTCGACGGGAACACTGGACAGCTGTTGTATTGCACACACACACACACACACACACACACACACACACACAAAGTTGAAACAAACACAATCCCCCACTGGCGCCTCTTTCCTGACTGACGCTGCCGAAGCGAAGAAAAAAAACAATGACAGGCAGGCAACAGGGCGGAGATGCGTGTCTGTGACTGTGTCCGCTTTTGACAACACACACATACTAACACACGTAATGAGAGGAGCAAACCTGAATGCGATCCGCGATGACCTCAGTGGTGACCTTTTTTTTTCTTTTTGGGTGAAGTTCGACTCAAATATGCAAATATGCTGTAGCAATAAAAATAAAATCTACATTCAACATAATTTTTTTCTAATCAATATAATTTAATTGAAGTCAACTTTAAATTGAATTCATTTTAATCTATTTTAATGAGTTTCAATTTCATATTTATTTGTTTGATCCTCATTATTTTCCTTCATTATTATTTTTACTTTAACATCACTTTTTTGGCAATTTTGTTTTATTTTATCTGCAATCAACATAAATCCATTTATATGATTTCACGCTGCACCACTGTGAGTTATTGGCTTGTGTTTTATATCAGGTTTACTTAATAATTACATTTAAAACTTTTAAAAAAATAGCCATTTATTTTATATGCAATCAACACAATCAACCACCACTTTGCCCCATGAAATATCATGCGCCAAAGATTTTGGACAGTGTGACACTCATAATAAGGATTTGTGACAAGTGAAAACAATAGAGTACAAAGTAGCACAATAGTGTCCAGTATTAGTCATGTGAGACAATGTGCTGCCTGGGAAAAAAAAAGAGAAAAAAAATGGAGTTTGCTACAAGTCCATTACTGGCCGCCCTGCATGTCTATCCTGAAGACAAATATTTAGAGTGAGTCATGACATGAGGCCGTCATTGGCTGCAGCCGAGTTATGGCGTGCACTGGCACAGGAGATGACTGTTTACTGGGGACTGGAATGAAAAGACAAAGCAGCAGGAACTCAGCGGGGATGTCGCTCCCGAAATATCCGCAGGTCGAAAGAGGGTTGCTGAATGTAAGTGTTTTGAAATTGCCATTCAACACGCCTCAAACACAAATTATGGAACAAACCGAGTCTTTGTTTCCTATGGTCACGTGGACGCTTGTGGAGATTAGTCAGGGGCATCGGAACAATCTTAACGAGAAGCCAATGCAAGAGTTATTGTGCCTTGAAATACAGACTTGAAAGACACCTTTTTGATTTCAGAGAGGTACGGAATCCGAGAAATTGTTGGTCACGAAATGAAACTCTTTTTTTGAGGGTTGTAATTTACTCATTAAAATTATTAGTCATTATTAGTTTAAATTATCATGTGCGATGAATAAAAATAGCAAAAATGTGTTCAATCGTGCTATCAGCACACACTTTGACGCAATCAAACATACCGTCCTGTAGTCGCAGGTGTCGCAGGTACAAAGGACTCTGGAGGACGTTACATTTGCCAGGCTCGTCCTCTCTCGTGACCAACATTAAGTCTGTGTAGACAAACACGGTAACCTGCAATGGACAATGCAACAAAAACATCAATTAATACATACGGGCTTTTTTTTGTTGTTGTCTTTTTAATGTCAGAAAATGACATTTTAAACAATTAGACAATTAAAGGTTTGACTGACCTTGAGGGAGTGATGCTTGCTCTCATGCAAAATCATCTCCTCTGTTATGATGAGAGCTCGACTGCACAGGTCCAAAGGCTGCTTCCACACACAGGTCAGTTCGATGAGAATCATCATCGCCAAAGGAGAGTAACATCCCAGCAAAAAAATAAAAAACAGCCTCACCTGAACAAAGATGGGGAAGATGAGGATTTTGGGCGCCACGGAAACATAGCCATAGTTCCCATGAGGGACGTGAGAGCGAACGATGGTGCAGTTTTGGTAGTTGGCAAAGTTGGCACTCTGCTGCGGGTGGTTGGGCACACCGGTCCCGGCGGAGGTGGGTTTTGACGTCTTGCCGTTGTTGGAGCGGCGCAGGAAGCCGGAGCGGCTGGAGAAAGGACCGACTCCGCTTGAACCCGACGAAAAGGTTCCGACGCCACCGGTGGTACCCGCGGCCTGATTTTGAGCCCCAGAGGCCTGCCGCGTGTTGTACAACCTGCTGACTGAAAGACAATATGGCCAGGATGATCAGAAATTCAGAGTGAAACATGCAGACAATGATGTGTTCAAAGTATTGATCTGTCAGAGTATACAATATGCGTATGCCGTTTGTACTTTTTTAAACATGTAATCCAATGAACCTTGGCCACAAGTGTGAAAAATCAATATTTTTCCAATGGCACATGACAGTGATTTGAAAGATTGCGGCGCAATAAAAGAACAACGAGGACAATGTCCAGCTGTCTTACCTAAGGTTCCCTGATTGTCCTGATAAACCGGCCTCAAGATCTGAAAGCAGAAAAATTGCGACGTTACGCTCATTTTACACTCAACTGAAATCCATCATGGAGGGTTTGGTCATCATAACTTGACATGTTTATGCTGTCACGTCGTCACTTTGCAGAGAGAGAACATGATAGCATTGTGTTGCCGTTTCCAGCGGTCCTTTCAAGGTAAATTTAGCCCGCACATGCAAACAATGCTAACGACTCAAATGATTCATTCTCGGTATTGTGCAATGAACCCATTATTTTTTTTTTTGTACTGTGACTGTGATTCATTCTTATTGTCTCAATCGTCCCCTTTTTTCACTTTCAATCAAAGATGTAATCACACATACACATTTTCACAAACTCCCCCGAAAGTGCAATGAGACACAAGGGTGTGTTTTTATGGTCTAAACGAGTTATCAACTCTATATGGACAGCCAGAAATATTAAGGTTAGGCCTGTTAGTCAGTTGCTCTCCCACAAATGTGTTAGTAATGTGTAATTACACTGTTATTAACTAAGGAAATCATTTCAGGCTTTGCTTTGAGAACAAGTATTCTTTATTGATGCAACCACTAGATGAAGCCATTGGTACATAGTGTACACAGTTCTGAGAAAAAAAAAATCCCCACGGGTCATCCATGAACTGTTGCATTAAACATGGTCAAAATCAATAGGATACCTGTGAGATAAATGATGCCGTTAATAAACACATGCTTTGTTTACCAGATGTCTTTGTATGGCCGGACATAAGGATGGCGGACTAAGTGCTTTATTGTCGTTTGAATGCCCTTCCTGTGTTCACAATAAAAGGAACATTGAAGGAAGCCCTCGTGTAAAGTCACTCTATCAATTGGCACCGGGGATGAAGGGTAAGGAGACATATCTAGCGTGAGCCATCATGTGACCAGGGTGAGGATGAGGAGGACGGAGGAGATGATGAAGATGCAGCCCACCACCAGTCTGCGGTACCTGGCTTCCGGGGTTGTAGGGGGCCAGGATGATGTAGTTGTCCCCGTTGGACGCCTTCACCCTGGTTCCCTTCAGCGTGGCGGTGGGAGGGTGCTGGAGGTGCCGCGGCTTGCCGTCCAGCTCCTCGGCCGAGCCGCCCTGGGCGCCCCACCGCATGGTGCCCACCCCTAAGCCCCCGCCGCCACCTGCAACGCCATCCGAG